CTAATCGATAGCTCGAGCTCGATAGCCTTTTCCTTTTATTTGCTGAATATTGGATTACGACATTAATGACAGTTATTGAAACAATATTGCTAGCTCCCGTGCGTTGGCACAATCGCGCGAAATATTCCGTTACTCCTGCGACAAAACGACGTAACTGAATTTTAGTATAATTCCTGTCGCCCGTACAAGTCAAAGTCGTTGCGGGGTGGCGTGGGAGCGGAGATAAGCTTTTATGTCCGACGGTGGACGCTCTTTATGGAGGGCGGGGTGGGTTCCGGCGAGATCTTGCAAATGCGTCGAGTCAGGTCTGACAACCTGTCGCGGATGAAAGCGTTCAGCGGGATGCGGGGTATTATCAATTTTATATTTAGCCGTTTCCGTCAATTTCTCGCGGTAGAGAGGGCATTTTTGCAGGGGACGGGATTTTGCAGTCTCTAGTGACCGGGCTAAGTGGCCGAAGCATAATATAAGAGAGCCGGCGATTTTTATTATGAAGGGTGGATAGTGGAAATAACGGGCCAATCTAACTATATATTCCAGGCTATTGTTCAACTAGCGGGTTGATTATTGAATCACTGGTAAAAAAAACCTCTTGGTTCAAGAGTGCAGTTTCTTGTCGCCGGATTTAAGAGTCTGGACTCTTGTTTCAACGCAAAATCCGCTTGAATCAATGCGGAATCCGCTTGAATCAATGCAAAATCCGCTTGAAACAAGAGTTCAAGACTCTTAAATCCGGCGACAAGAAACTGCACTCTCAAGTCAATGCACCGCGGCATTGGTCCAAGAATTTTTTTTTTACCAGTGAAATTAATCGACTAAGCGATACACATAGAGGACAAAGGGAGTATGGAGCGATCTTATTGGTTGAAATGGGTGGTTCCTATGGACTAAAGTAAAAAAAAATTCGACTAACTGGACCGAGTTCATCAGAAAGGAACAAACCCACATTTACGAAAAAATTGAGTTGAGAACTTTTTTTAGTTTCACTAGTCGTTTATTTTCTCCTGCCAAACATTGAAAGTCTAAAAACAAACAAAAAATTGTTAAAAGAGGGGTTGAAGTTAATTTTCTTTATTGAGCCTCGTGCAGGGATAAAACTTCAAAGTAATAAAATCCACCAATGCTCTTTATTTTAAAGCATTTTGTTCTTAAAAAAAGAGACATTGAAGTTCCAGTCAGGAGAGAAATTAGAGCCACCAAAACGCGTCTGACTATGAAAATGTAAAAGGGAGAGGCAAGTTTTTTTTCTGTCAAACATAAAAATACCAATAATTGTCAATTCTAGCTACAAACTGTATTATTCTGGAAAGCACCCTCATCTTCTACCTCACTTTAAATTACCGCCCCTTAGAGTTCAAAGCAATGAAGTGATATTGCAGCACTTAGAAAAAGACTTCATATCCTGTTGGCGCGAGTTCAACAGGTTGTCTTAAGAACCTTAGATCCTATTCTTATGGCCCTTGTAGCTCCTTCCATTCCGGGTTTCCTCAGATGGATCTCCTTGGACGTATTTCTGCCAAACGGAACTATGTGCATTAGGACATGAGCCCTAAAGCCCATAAGAATACATGCATAAAAGGGCTCACGTCATAATGCACATAGCTCCGTTTGGCAGAAATACGTCCAATGAGCTTAACACCATCCTCGGAAATCGACAAAGATCGTGTAACAAATCCAAAATAAGGTAAAAAGTTTGCATGATACGAAGTGAAGCCCCAGTCTCTTCATCCATTATTTTAAAAGGAGGGAGAGGAATAATGCGAAGAATGTCGATGCAGAGTAAGAAACCACGCATCTCCCTTTCAGACGTTGCGGAATTTCTATCACAATTTATTTTTCATTCGGGAAAGAATAGTCAACATGTTTCTATGATAGTTTCGTAAAAATCACTAAGAAAAACCACTTTTCGACTTCTGAGAGATGCAAATGCGTTTAGTATCGCATACCATAGTGTTTTTCATGAAGTAAACCGAAATTTGACTGGATTTAATAGATTATTGGCGTGAAAATCGTTCGAAAAATTTGCTCGCACTGAAAAACAATTCTCGGCGTTTTTACCACAGTCCGTTGGAACCTTTACCATCTCACTTTTTTTTACCAATTATTGGTAATTTTACGAAGACAGACTGGTAAGCTTACCTAAAAACCGGTATTTTTACTGTTTTTTTCGAATAAGGATACCTTTTTTATTGATAATCAATTCCCGGTAACTATGCCATTTTATCTCGGTAATTCTACCAAAGTCGATAAAAAATATTGGCGTTTTTACCAAGGTCCAGTAAAATTAGGTACCGAGAAAGTTCAATAATTTTACCGAGATTTCTCGGTTAAATTACCAATTCCATAAACGGTAATTTTACCAAGAAAAAATTGGGATCAAATAGAACCCTGAATTCTTGGTAATTTTACCCTTTTCTTAGTAAATACACTGAGATTTTTTTTTTTTTTTTCAGTGCAATACCCCTATGTTTGTTCACCTCCCACTTGGATACTTTTTAGACCAACATTTCAATGAGAGATCGGTGTTAGCAATCAGAGAGCGGTTCCCTCTGATTTTAGTATCACAGAAAAAGATATTCCTTGAGATTGAGTGTAAAATCTGGAATTTTCAAGCACCAACTGGCAACTGCGTTTTCAAATTGACCCGCAATAACAAGCAAGCTGCTCGGAGTGGTGGATTTATTGCCAGCCTCCACCCCTCCGCCCTTCCAGCCCCTCCCCCGGCGCTTCTGCAACCCGTTTTCAAGGAGCGACCACATAATTACCGCTGAGTGTTAGATTTATCTCTGCTTTTTTTTTAATTTTTCCCGGCTCCTGCTTCGCTCGGCTCTTAGTTCTCTTGTTTCAGTTTGTAACTATCCCTGCCCCACCCACCACACCCTTCTCGCAGCGTGTTCCTTGGGCTCTCAAAGGGATACAAATGGGGGCTCCGACATGTTGCCACCCTTAGTTTCAGGCCTACATGTGAGCCCGTCCCGGGATCGGTGTTCGAAGCTCACCTTTGAGTTTTAGGAGCCATGTGGCGCATCAAGCCCTCTTTTTAGGCGCCATTGAAGATTTTTTGGGGGCCAAATTGACTTTTTGCCTGTATATTACGGCGTATTTAGTGAAAAGTTAGACGCAAGATGTTTTCGTAACAGAACCAGTAAGTAGCTGTAACTTGGGGAAAACGAGAGCACTAAGAATGAAATCGTGAAGAACAGAAAAAGCTTTCACTTGAAGTGCTCAAAATTCTGAGTTTTTTCAATTTAAATAGATTTGTTTTTCTTTCTTTATGTGACTTCCAATGAAAATCCAGAATTTTGGGGGATAATTCTTAGGGGCCACGGCCCCACGGGGGTTGATTTTAGAGAAAACCGGTGGCACCATCGTGTTTCTCGCGAACTTTTACACAAGAATAAATAGTCAAATCGCAAATTCCTCAAACATGCAACATCTCCATTGTTTGGCTGCACCCTACTTATCAACATTAATTTGCTGCTTCTGACGCAGGTTGTGCAGGATTAAAAATAGACCTGTCAACAATGCAACCAACAGCTTGGTTGTTTTTAGCTCCGCGTTCTCTCATTCCACTCTCAGCGCTTTGCTTTAGTGCCTTCTAAAAGTCCAACATGTTTGTATCTTAGATTATTCTCTTTTCGTGGAACCTTTTGCTTAAATTGCAGTGTAGATTAAATGAGTCCGGCCCTTTATATTTTCATGGTTCTCTCGTAGAGCTCGAGGGATATTGTTTTGAAGCTCAAAGAATGAATTTTCACTCACATAGTTCGACATCACTCTTTCAACGCTTTATTATACAAGAGAGTTTTAAAAAATCCCCATCGAAAGGCAGGTATTTTAACAGTAGAATGGGCTGCTAGATCCAGACGCAGTATGAATTTAAGTATTACAAGACATGATTGGGGGCGATTCTAAAAATCAACTGCCAAACAAGATGAAAGATTTCGTAACCTCCTCGAAGAAAAACACCTACATTAAGCAGAACCCCGCTCTCATTCAGCGATTTTATTCTTGACACAAAATAAAATCGTCTTGACTGCATACTCAAGAATGTTTCTGCCTAAATCGAGTTACTTTTTTCTCTAATGAAATTCAAAAATTATGGTAAACGTTTTTGAATACGGGTGCCAGAACTTAGTGAATTTTCGGACAACCGCTCTCATTTGTGCAATAGTATCTTGATTTATTTTGCGAGGAAAGCTCTGTACTCTTAAAAGATGCCTGTCATTCTTAATATGTTGGAACGCCTTCAATTTCGTATGATACTGTGCAACGCTTCTGTTGTGAAATAGTTGCTTGAGGCGCCGTGGCACGCTGCGGCACGGCAAAACGCGAAAACGCGCACGGCCCCTACAAACCCAAGTGGATACTTCACGCATTGCGCAATGCGTGAAGTATCCATTTAGGTTTGTAGGTGCCAGAGCACGCCGCTCCGCTCTGTTGTGTGAGGCTCTAACATTTAAACTCACGGAGTCAGCGTTTTGCAACTCATGATTTTGAAATTTTTGCCACACTCTTCATAGATTATTCTCATTTAAATTGATGAAAAAAAGATACGTATTAAAGGAAAATACAATGTGTGTTTTTTAAATATTGGTGGTTCGGTGTCAAAAATGATTTCCAAAGTACTTTAATTTTTTCTTTTATATTTCGGGACTATATAAGACACTTTGAAGCCGCTGCAAAACCTTCTTCGAGAGAGAATTGTTGCCAGATTGTGCTGAAAAATCAGTACCACCCCCCATTTAAACCCAGTGGCTTGGCGTGCTTTGCGATGTATCGATTGTTCTGCCATTTAAACCCATGGTAAAAAATCGATAATTAAGGTGTTCGCTGCGAACACCCTGTCTATCGATCCTTTCCCATAGGTTTAAATGGCCAATCAACCGATATATCGTAAAGCACGCCACGCCACAGTTTAATTCCATGACATATATCTTTTTTAATGGCACAACCGGACAACTTCGCATAAGAGTGATAAAGAGAGGAAAAGGACTGACCTTGAAAACCTCCCAGGTGGCGCTGAAGGGGAGGACGGCGATGCCGACCATGAGATCGGCGACGGCGAGGGAGACGATGAAGAGGTTGGTGACGGAGCGGAGCTTGGAGGACATGAAGACGGCGGCGATGACGAGGATGTTGCCCAGGATGACGATGACGTCGATGACGCCGAGGGCCACCAGCGAGGAGATCTGCCGCGGGTCGTTCCAGGTCACGTTCTCCAGCAGCGCCGCGCACTCCGAAGCGTTCATGCCCGCCCCCGCGCCCCGCGAGCACGAGTCCCGCCCGGCTCACCGCCCGAGGCGCATCCTCCGGCCACCGGAAACGCACTACCGGAAATGCTCGTCCAAAATGGGAGACAGAAAAACGTGACAATGAGAACGGGCAACGGGAACAGTTACCGGAAACGCACTACCGGAAACGTACTAACGGTAAGGGATGACCGGAAACGCCCGACCGGAAATGAAGCACCGGAAACGCACGACCGGAAATGGAGAACCGGAAACGCACAACCGGAAATGAAGCACCTGAAACGCACTACCGGAAACGGTCGGGACGGCAGCAGGCAAATTCGACCGGAACGAACTGTCGGAATCGGGAAACGGGAAAAGGTGCAAATGAGAGCGGGCGACAGGAGACAGTTACCGGGAACGCACTACCGGAAACGTACTAACGGAAAGGGATGACCGGAAACGCCCGACCGGAAATGAAGTACCGGAAACGCACAACCGGAAATGAAGTACCGGAAACGCTCGGGACGGCAGCAGGCAAATTCGTCCGGAACGAACTGTCGGAATCGGGAAACAGGAAAAGGTGGAAATGAGAGCGGACGACAGGAGACAGTCACCGGAAACGCACTACCGGAAATGGATAACCGGAAACGCTGGGGGTGGCAGCGGGCAAATGGAAACGGTCGACCGGAACGCACTGTCCAATCTGGGAGACAAGAAAACGTGAAAGTGAGAACGGGCAACAGGAAACACGTCACCGGAAACGCACTACCAGAGATGGAGTACCGGAAACGCACCACCGGAAATGCTCAGGACGGCAGCAGGCAAATGAAGACAGTCAACCGGAACGCACTGCCAAAAATAGACGACAGAAAAACGTAAAAATGAGGACGGGTAACAGGAAACAATCACCGGAAACGCTGGAACGGAATTGCTTGCGGAACCGAAGGAAAAATGGGGCGGATCGACCGAAACGCACTACCGGAAACGGAAACTGGAAAAAAAAACGTGGAAACGGTAACGGGCAACGGGAACAGTCGACGTGAACGTTGGACCGGAATTGCTCGCGAAGGCAACAGACCAATGGGAACGGTCGAAGTAAACGCACTACCGGGACAAAAACGGGAAAAATTGGCGACCGGAAATCGAAACAAGGAATCGGACACACCTCGATACGAAGGAATTAAGTTGCGACAAGATTAAAATAGGAGATCTGTAACAACGGTAGGAACTTGATTTTCAGCGTACTCGAATCCGAAATCGAAAATATGTGTGAACGAGACGGACGTTGACGATAAAGAAGAAGAAAAATAAAAACGGGCGGGGGCGGAAACACTCACACGACCGGAAGCATCGAACCGGAATCCGGAAAAATCACACCGGAACTTCTTTCGTTGAATTGAAACAAAAAACCTAGATCACAGTTGAAAATACCCGACTCCGCACAAAAAATAACGGGTTAACGAGAGTAAAGTGGAAGGAATCACTTAGAGGTGGAGCTCGTGGCATAAGGTTAGGACCGGACCAAAAGAAAGGCGAATTTAAAACAGCACAACCGATTGAATTTCAAAAAACACTGTTAATTAAAATAAATTTGGGGGTAGAATCAATGAATCCCGTACGATATTCGATCGAATTTAACTAGCTGGAAATGCAACACTCGGGAATCAGGTCACACGTCGAATGGTACAAACTGTAAAGATGAGACCCGGAACGTAAAACCGCAGCCGGGTTAATTAGTGTTCTTTTTGGGTCGCGTGTTGCGGGTTGCATCCGCGGATCAAACGGCGTGGCGACGGACGGTCCTGGTAGCCTTGTCCCGGAACGGCACTTTGACGGGCATGGCGAATCCCCGGAACTACCCGGGGGCACCGCTCACGCGGGGGACAGCGGGGCGAGTGCGGTCGGGGTTCCCCGGCCCCCGCAGCTGGGCTTTAGTTCCGTGTTCCCAGAGTCGAGCATTTTTTTGCAGCTACCTGTGAACAGACAGAAAAACGCATTCTTAGTTCGAGAGTAGGTAACATCTTTTTTTGCGTGCCGCACTCAGGAACATGGAGTGACTTTCTCTATTTTTTTGAGCTTAAAGCTTTTTCGACACTTTTACTTGTACTTTCGAGGATTCAACGCTTCCTTATGGACAATTCAGCTAGAGCATACAGAGGAATTCTGCCGTGCTAAGGAAAAACGTTGAATGAACCCTCAGGCGTTGCCAAATTTCTTTTCATAAAACGCGAATTTTACTCTCTTACAATGGGTCTGTTGCAAACTTTAGCTAGAGCTAACCGAAGAGTTATTTCTCATACAAAATGGCTTAAAAATCACGATCTCGCTTAAAAATGCACTCCTTACGTCACAGTTTTTTTCAGAATGCGTTTTTTAAGCTTCCCGCTTCAAAAACGGCACTACAGCACAGATGAACATTTCATAAGAGAAGTCGTTTCAGCCAACCATTGCGCACTAAGATGCTACACAACATTCAACATGGCTGACGCTTCTGCGCGCTAATTGTTAGGAAGCACCATAGCCTTTGTCAACGCAGGGAAAGTAAAAATTATAAAAACACGCCAATTGATAAAATTCCATCTCGTCATGTTAGTTCTGGCGAGTTGATGTCGGCCATGTTGCATGAATATTGTGTAGCATACTAACATGTTAAGATTGGATGGAACTTCTCTTACAAATTGTTCAACTGTGGCGTAGTATCGTTTTTGAAACAAGAGGCCTAAAAATAGCATATTTATTACGCGGGTTGTAAAGTTACGAGTGCATTTCAGACTTCCACTATGCGCTCATCGTGATTTTTGAGCCATTTTCTTGGAGAAGTAACTTTTCGACTTGCTCTACCTGAAGTTTGCAACAGGCCTATTGTAAGGGAGAAACAGTCATCATCATCATAACCATAATACTTTTTACCGCAAAGTTTGTGGAAAATTACAAGAAAATCATTAATTTGTAATAACTTTCCTTTTTTAAGGGGAGATTGGGAAACGATTGAATGTTCGGACGGTATTTTTTCTGAGTATGGGAGCATAACAAAACACTTCTACTTTAAAAAGGATGATCGTCCATAAAGTAGTCGCTGTTTGGATGAGAGCGTCATCCTTACAGCAACGGCCTATGCATGACGTGATTCAAATTGAATGTGATACTAGAAGAACACATTATTGATGGCAGGAACTTAAAATGGTCACACCTAATTGAGAGGCCAGCCAATACTACGCGCCTTTTTTACTACAACTTACCCTGAATTTTAGAAAAAATAAAAAAATGCAGAGACTAAACGATGACATAGATCATTCCCAAGAGGATGTAAAAGTATTAGGAAAAACAAACGTATAAAATGATTGTCGATGATTCGATATCAATAGGCGAAAAAAGTGCGCACACACTGGAAAGAAACACATTGGATCTAGCGTCCAGACTCTTGAAAACATTGACAAGAAAAAGGACTCTTGATTCAATCAGATTTAAGCTTGATTCAAAAGGAAATCCTCTCAAATTAAGAGGCTTGGTTCTTGATTTAGGCTTAAATTTGATTGAATCAAGAGTATTTTTTCTTGTCGATGTTTCTAAGAGTCTGGACTCTAGATCCAATGTGTTTCTTTCCAGTGCACAATTCTGAAATTTCACAGGGCGAAAATAGGGGAATATTATTATTTTATTCAGCTGCGAATAAAAAAAGGGATTTTACTATTATCCGACCCGAGAGAAACGTGCTTCCTATTTCCCTTGTCCGTAAAAAGTTAGCACAGAATAACCCGCTTGAAAGGACATGAGTCATCTCTAACAGCTGAGCGAGACCGTAGGGGCAACATACAACTATTACAGCATCAGTGTTGTGCGGGAAGCGTGCGCCCATTTAAAGGCGTTTTGTATTTTTCAAGAGCTTGACGCATTTTGAGAGACTAGAGCCGTGTCCACGCATGAAAAGGTTTCTATACCTGTACGAAGCACTCTATTACGGCCTCATCAACGCAAACTTTTCTGAACTTGGAATTCGTTTAATGCAAAATCTTGTAGCACCATCTTTTTTTAACGAAACTTTACATATGAATAGATGAATAAATCGAGAATCCTCACTGCTTGCGAGAACTCCACCAATACTACGAACCGGGACGAATGAATTGACTGACACATGTCAAAACTTCCTTTTACCACATGAAGAATGTCTTTGTCACTGAATGTGTCACGATTTATATTGAATGCGAGATTGGAAGAACGCAATCCCAATTGCAGTGTTTCAAAATGTCCACTCTAAATTTATATTTTCTTTTGCGAGATAAAAAATCAACCTCGTTGCTTAAAATGTTCGCAAAATGTAAATCGTAATATTTTTTTCATTCTTATTCTTCCTCGCTCTTCACCCGCTTATTCTCCGTTATTTTCCTCCCCGTCTTCCTCCTCTTATTATTCTCTTTCTTCTTCTGTCTCATGTTCCGTCACTTCTTTTTTCTACCGGTCCCCTTATTTTCATTCTTCCCCTTCTTCTCATTCTTCTTTCTCTGCTCCTTTTTACTATCCATCCTTCTATTTTTCCTCCTCTATCACTACTACTACCACCATTACAACTTGTTTTCATCATTCCTCCTTAATCCACATTCTTCCTTCCCCTTTCCTTATTCCTCTCATTTTCCTTTTCCTTAGTTTTCTTATTTTACAACTCATTTTCCGCCTTCTTTTCCATTACTTCTTCTTTTGTTCTTTATCATCTTCATTTCACCTTCTCCTTATTCTTCTTTTTCATTTTTTTTATTCGTGTTGATTTATTTTCCTTCTTTATTTTTTTCTTTCTTATTTCTTTTTTCTTATCTGCTTGTCTTCTTTCTCACTCATTTTTCTACTTTCTTAATTATTTTTGTTCATTCTTATTCATTAATCGTCTCTCTTATTTATTTTCCTTTTTTATTTCTTTTACGTCTTCTCTTTCCATTTTTTCATTTTCCTTTCCTTCCGTCTCATCCAACCTCGAATGCGTTCTCATCAAACATCCGAGTCTGTCAGACTTAAGGCTGAGGGCAAAAATTCACCAAGAGTAGACGGCACTTCCCCCAACCCCTATTCACTC